ACAGAGTCTCACTTTGTCACCCTCGGTAGAGTGCTATGGCATCATCGCTCACAGCAACCTCAAACTCTTGGGTTCAAGTGATCATCTTGCCTCAGCCTCCCAAGCAGCTGGGACTACCAGTGCCTGCCACAACACTCAGCATGAACCACCACGCCTGGCCCAATTTTTTCTGTTTTTAGTAGAGATGGGGTCTCACTCTTGCTCACGCTGGTCTTGAACTCCTGAGCTTAGGTGATCCACCACCTTGGCCTCCCAGACTACTAGGATTATAGGCCTGAGCCACCACATCCTACCAAGTTTTTGACTCTTAAAACCCAGTTTAGTTCTTGAGAGGAAAATAGTAGAAACATTCCCATTAAATAATGAAGCAGGCAAGAATATCATCACCATTAATATTTAACCTTTTTTTTTTGAGACAGAGTCTCACTTTGTGGCCCTCAGTAGAGTGCTGTGGCATCACAGCTCACAGCAACCTCAGACTCTTGGGCTTAAGTGATTCTCTTGCCTCAACCTCCCAAGTAGTATTAATATGTTTTTAACCTCATATCCTACTTCCATTCCCCATCCACTGTAGACACTCATTCAAAGTTCATAGTTTTATCTTTACATGTGAATATGTTCTTACAAAGTCATACATTTTACATGCATTTTTTTATCTACATAAATAATAAGTCTCTTATTCTGTCTTTCTTTTTCACTCACCACAATGTTTTTATGATCTGTCTGTTACTATATAAACATTCATGTCAGGGCAGTGACCATATTTTACCTACCTACTGTAACAAGGGAATGGACAGATTAGCACCAGGAGAAATGCTGAAATGAAACATTTTCATACAATTCCTTTATGGACCACTTTGAGAATTTCTTGGGTCATAGAATTCACTTGACTAAATATTGCTGTAATGCCCTAACTCCATCTTGTACATAGAGCCAGACTTACTCCATTTTGCTAAGGGCTTTCAGCACTCCCCCTTTAAGCTCAGCTGAAAGCTACAGAGTTTAGCAAAACTGTAAAATCCTGCGAAACCACAGCTCTTCCTGGTATGCACTTCCCTTACCTCTAACCTTGCAGGTGTTGGCTTTTATGAAATTCAGCTTGTGTTAAGGACTTCCCCTCCCCTACCAAAAGCATCTTATAAAATGTTTGTACCCCTGCCTCTGGTTGTCGAGGGACTAAGTGATGTGAATCCCCTCTTGACCACCAGTCAATAAAGAAGCCCTGCTTAATTTGGATTAAGTGTGCTGGCATTTCTCTATTCCAGTCACTTTGGGGTGGCTTCCCTGTGTAGCCCCCTGGAGAGGGCAGGAATCAAAGGGGAGGTGCCCCATAAGACATTCCAGGGCCCCGTAATTCCCTGAACTCCTCCTGAGGGCTTCAGAGGGACTCCTGCCAATTCCTCACCCAAATTTAGGTCCACCAGCTTACTATCAAGAGGTAAGAATCTGGGGCGGTGCCTGTGGCTCAAAGGAGTAGGGCGCTGGCCTCATACTGAAGGTGGTGGGTTCAAACCCAGCCCTGGCCAAAAACCGCGAAAAAAAAAAAAAGAGGTAAGAGTCTGTGATGTTTGTTTGAAATTGTTTTTGTTCACAAGGGCCCTTAGGAACCTCGAGGGTAGGCCACTGGATGGGATCCTCAGAGGTTGGCCCTGGCCTGTGAGAGAAACTAGGGTGCTAGTGCCATTGGGACGCTGGTACTTTTGTCTCTGGCTTCGGGGAAGCTTGGGAGGCGCAGGTGAGAAGGGAGCTTCAGGGGTTGGCCCTAAGGAGAGGCCCATAAACCTGTAAGACAAGAGCCTCAGGGAACCTGGCTCACTCTGTTAAGGCAGGAGCCTCAGGGGAGCCGGGCCTGTCTGGGGCTCGCAGAGATGTGTGTGTCAGTCGTATCACCTGTCCCCAGGATGCTGAAAGGAAGCCTCAGCCTCAGATGTGCACTTTAGACTTATATATATAATAACTGTTGCTTTTTGGGAATTGTGTGTATTGTGAGTCATTTGTTTGTCCTGGTGACTTGTCTTTTTGTTTGTCTGTCAAATCATGGGAACTCAACAAAGTAAGTCCTTAACACCTTTACAGTATATGCTGAAGAATTTCACAGCTGACTTCTCGGATGACTATAGAATCTAGTTCTCCAAGAACCAATTCCAAGTTCTCTGTGAAGTTCAGTGGCTGAGATTTAATGTAGGAGGCTGTCAACAGGTTCTGGTTCAACTAGACCCAGCCTTGGTGACAGCAGTACACCTCAAGGGAACATTCAGTCACCCAGACCAATTCCCCTATATAGACCAGTGGTTGATTTTGGTTGCGAGTGTGTGCCATGGAATCTTATTCTGCAATCCTCCTCAACCATCCCCAACCCTGAAAGGGTCAGCAGGCCTCACGAGTCCTTGCCCCATCAGGCAAAGAGGATTTGCTGCCTCCTTACAACGTAGAAGGGCTATCTTCTCCCACAGTCTCTATGGGAGAAGCTCCAACAGCATCCCAGCTGGAGTCCCCCGCTCCTCATCTCCAGTCTCATATGAACCCTGAGGCAGGGGTCCAGTTCACTGTTCCTTAGACTGTTGGAGGGCCGGACTGCGGGCCTGGGACAAATCGGCTGCTAAGCAGGACAGGCAGCAGCGGCAAAAACACCTGGCGGGCCAGATAAATGTCCTAGGCAGGCTGCATGTGGCCTGAAGGCCATAGTTTGAGGACGCCTGGAAAGGATAGGCCCGGATCCTCCCCCTTCAGGAGGCATCTCCTGGGAAGGGAGCAGGAAGAGGCACCTGCCCCTTTCTTGTCTATGTCCTTTTTCAACCTCTCTGCCTTATAGAATTGGAAAACCCAGAACCCACCCTATTCAAAGGAGCCCCAGACCACAACCCCTGTGGGTCGTGACCCACAGACTGAGAACCGCTGGGTTAGAGCATCCACCATCAGAATCCAGCAGTACCCAATGAGCCAGCAAGCCTGCCTGGGTGTAACCCCACAAGTCTGGTATCTGCTAAAAGCTGAGATCCTGGCTCGGCGCCT